TAATAATTTCCCATAAACATAAACATAAACATAAAAGACATAGTAAGAAAGAAAACCTATCAAGTATTGCCAAGCAAGTATTTCATTAAATTATAAAAATATATAGTAAAAATTAAACTTATGTAGTGTTGCAAAGCCAACAACGAGTTTAGCTCGCTTTTTGTGGTTTACCAACACTATAAGCTGCTTCAAATATATAATATTTCAGGAAATTATCAAGCATATATACTATAAAAAATTTCCCTAAAAAATATAAATATATAGTAAAAAGAAACCTTATCAAGTCTTGCAAGGAAAGCTAGCTTTTTAACACACTCTTTTTGTTTACCAACACTATAAATAGCATTAAAAAATATATATAATTTTTCAGGAAATTATCAAGCTTATGAATTACCTAAGCTCTTACTTCACATATACGATATATATGTACTTTACTGTAAAACAAAAGCAAATTTCGGTTTTTTTTTTTTGGCAAGTTAGCAGCACTTTTTAGTGAATTGCATAACACTACCACACCTCCTCCTTTACCAGCTCCTCCTCCTCCCAATACTCCTCCTCCGTTAGACGAAACGAAGCTTCCACACACAAAAATGACTCAATTTATCCACGTAATTTGATCCGTACCCCCTTACCCACCCCTCTGCTAGGTGAATCGGCTCGAATCATTAATCACAAGAGAGACCTCCAGACTTTTAACAAACTGCATTCATAATCGGGCCTCCGGACAGGTTGAGCTCAGCTCTGCTTGGGCCCATGCTGCGTATACGTAATGTCAGCGGCCGTACAGTGCCCGCCATATGGATATCGATCTCACGCCGTTGCCTGACATATTTGGGTTGAATGTTAACAGAAAAAATAAATAGTAAAAAATAACAAAAGTAAAATAACATAAAACAAGAAAGGAAGCTAACTTCGGCACGCCGATGTTTGTATACCCTTGCATATATTATTTCATTACATTTTACCTATATTATTATGTTTACAGTTTGACAGTTACAGTTTTGCATTCCCAGCTTTACATTTTCTCAACATCTACGGATCGCTTCTATGGCAACTATATGATATAGTTGTCCGATTTTTATGAAATTTATACCATAATTTTAGAATAATAAAATAAGCTTATATCTCAAAGTAGATAAAAATACGTTGAAAAACAACGAAGCTAACATTTTATTTCTATTACTTTCCCGATCGTTCCTATGGCAACTATAAGATATAGTCGTTCGATTTTCATAAAATTTTTTACAAAAATTCTGGAATAATATAATATCTCAAAAATTATGCAAAAATGTTGAAAAACAGCTAATTTATAATTTTTTTTCTAAAAATTTATCTAACATTTGTATGGCAGCTATATGATAAAACTGTACTATACTTTAAAACTGAGAGACGGACATGGCTAGATCGACTCGGCTGTTGATGCTGATCAAGAATATATATACTTTATAGGGTCGGAAACGTCTCCTTCACTGCGTTGCAAACTTCTGACTGAAATTATAATACCCTGCAAGGGTATAAAAAATAGCAAACAAAACCGAGAAAAACAAAACTCGCAGCTTATGAATGCCTGACCACAGCAAAATCGGCAAATGTCGCAATTAACATATTTCTCATGTGTGCAAGTACGAATGCACACCGATACGTATTTGTTATTATTATTATTTTTGTAGAGGTTTTTTAAGAGGTTATAAATGTTTATAAAAGCTTTTTAAAAGCGGGGCTCTCCGGAAAAACAAACAATCACATTCTGGAGGGAATTAATATTAATAATAGTAATGGGTTCTGCAAAACTGTGCCACGATCCCCTGAGTACCAGCACAACATACACCTGACATTGTCTAAAAAAAATGCCACAGGTGCGTGCTTGTGTGTGTGTGTGAATAAAGCAAGAAACAAAAGCGTTTGTTCAAGTGATTAGCCCAACCCTGAAAAATGTTTGTTATTTTTTCTGTGTTTTTTGGACCAACCCCTCGAGAAACATAAAAAATTTGCGACTGAGAAAGGTGAGGAGATCAGGGATTATAAAAAAAAATAGGCCTGGGTCACAGGTAGCGATAAAAATATGAAATCTGTATCGAAAAATAACTCAAATGTTGATATTAAAATAAATATTTTATCGATAATTCGATTATTATTTGGCGGACAGCTCTCTCTTAAGCGAACAACTTTAAAGACATTATACATTTTAATCTTTAACAAAGTTAATATATCATTTTTTATACAAATATAAATTTATATATTATTTATTATAGGTAGTTTTTAAGGCATATAACTGACGGACAATTCTCTTGGGCGGACAACTCCTAAGAATGTTATATAAACACTTAAAATAATACAAGAAAAACAAGTTAAAATGTATCCCTCAAGGATTATTACAATTGGGCAGTTATCATAAATCTGAATACGTATACCTATATAACTATTAGCCTCCAACTTAGCATACATACATATATCTTGCGCTTTTGTGCTCCATCCTCGCAGTGCAAAACGACAAACAAAGATTTGTTTTATGTGACATTTCAATTAGCGCAGTGTCAAGACCTGACATCAGCATAAAAACACAGTTCAACTATTGTTGAATCACGGGCCCCAACAACCTACACCACAGAGTAGAGACAATAGAAAGATAAACATTGAAAGATATATGCAGATAAAAACAGATATATAGGTAAGCACATACCGTAGAGATATTCACAGTGCTTGTGGCGTTAATAAGTGGTGATCGCTGATTGGCACAGCTGGGCAATCACTGGTACAGTCACCTGCTAATCATGGCACGGGCACGTTCGAGGCATTCCAAGCATTCCGTTTAATTGCAGGCCAGGCGCCTCCCCCCAACGTTCGAGTGCGTTGATATTGATCAGATTGGAGACCGCACTTTAATGATTGTTGAGTTGATTGAATGATCGCAGCGATTTGGGTCAGGCCATGATCTCCAACTTGGACGCAGACATCGACCGTTTGGCTGGTCATTAGAACTGTCGTCCAGTTGACATAACCATGGCCAGCCATTAGAGCCATTTGCGCAACTCCAAGAGTCCAACTAGCGAGGCAACCACTTGGTGTTCCACTGATGCAACACTTGAAAGACTAAGCCAGTCAGCGGTCTTGTATATATTTTAATTAAATAAGGTTCTGCTTGGTTCTCTAATAATTTTTTTTAGTAAATCCTGTAATTTTCTGTCATTTACCCCCCTTCAAGTTTTCACTAATTTACCACTTATCGTTCGCTGACTTTCGTTGGCATTTTGTTTTGTTTTTCTTTTGGTTTTGTTTTGTTTGTTCCGCTGTTTTGTTTGTCTAATTACGCAACTTGTCGACAGCGGATGCCAGTGTGTGCCGCTGCATTTTGTGGTTTGACCAAAAAGCGTTTCCAATTCCGTTTCAGCTTGGAGTGGTAGGCCCAAAAGCAGCAACCACATCCACCACATGCATCGCGCAGTGCAACAAAAATTATGGCAAGCCCATTTCCGCGTGTCAACAAACTTCTGCTTTGGGTGAAATTTTTTGTAAAAGAAAAAAAAAAAAAACCTAGCAGGAGGTGGAGCCAACGGAACCTAAGAAAGTGTCCGCTCGAGTAACTGCATATGCACAGCAAGAAATTTATTTCAATGAGTTATTTTGAAAAGAGATTAAAGAGATTATATATAGAACACAAAGATTGACAAAGTACCTAGGAACCTACTGTATTTTTCATACGACTCTTGGAAAGCAAGCTCTTACCTCACGAAATGTTGCTTCAGGTGGGTTTAATGAAAGCTCTACTGATAAAGAGAAAGAAAATATTAGCTTCTCAGCGTCTTTTGAGTTTCTTTAAAATATTTACTGATCACCAATGAATTCAGCAATTCACCAATAAATTCAGAAGTTCACCAATGAATTCAGCAAATTCACCAATGGTTTCACCAAGGACACCTAGCGCCGGGCGAGGACCCGGGATTTCATGAAGATCTACCTCTGATACATGGACTACATAACCCTCTAAGTCCACTTCCAAAAATTATATTATTTTCACCACTGTAACTCGAGGATGTTTAGACGAAAGTCGGGCTAGCTGAAAGATCAAACCAAAGACTGAAGAAGCCCTGGCATAGATCATGGATGGGTTGCTGGGCTTGCTGCACTGTCGGCCGTGTTCGTTGTTCAAACTTTTACTTGTGTTCATCCGCCTTCGCCTCTTCTGGAGGGTATATACATTATACATATATAGGGGGATCCCTCAACGCGTGCAGTGAAAACCCGAGAAGCACGTAGACATAATTTATTGCCAAATGCATGGTAGACTCGCGCTGGACACGCCTCGCTGGCCACGTTCGTGTGTCGTGCCCCGTTCAAGCGTCATAGATACAAAGATACTACAATATATCTTGGAACTATTTTTTTCTTTCGATTTCTTCGAGGGCCGACGAGACGTAAATAGTTGTTTAAAAATCCGTCGAAAAATGTGCAGTAATTAAAGCATTTTAAGGTATAATGTATAAATGAAAAGAAAGAGAAAGACAAAAACAACAGGCAAGCGTAAAGTTGTTACTCGATGCGTCGGCAGCTAACGAGTCTTAATTAAAGTGAAAATGCCAAAAGATCGACATGGATATGGCTATGGATATCCATATCTATATCTATATCTATATCTATATGCACATTGTGTTGCAAAGTGCAGTCAGTCAGTCAGTGTCTGGTGTCTAGTTATCCAACGCGACATGGTGATGAAACCAGGCCCTGGCATAGAGGAATCCGTGTACGAGAAAGGGCTTTCAGAAAGCATCTGTCCGCTCCAGAGAGAAAGAGGGTCTGTCCGTTTAAGAAAGTCTGTATAAGCTTAAGATGGGTGCGAAGATACTGATACTCTTTTATAATTAAACCCCTATCAACAAAGACTTTGTCCGCTCAAAAGAGATGTTTTATGCGCTTTAGAGAGACAGAAATTTACTGAGGGATTAATCCCACCAAGAAAGATTCATTTAACAATGTCATTTAAATATAATTAAAATATCACTCACCAAAGTCTCAGTATATATTTTCCTTTATCCTGTGTATTTGTCCTTTCAAAAGAGAGTGTCTGTCCGTTAAGGAGAGTGTTTCATCCGCTCAATCACTTTTTTTAATTTGTTTTAGCTAGAAAATCCGCTTAGCTCAGGCGTTCCATAAACATTTTCCACTAACCTCTGCTCTCTCTCTTTTGTCTCCTCTCTTCTGTTATCCACAGCGATGTCATAATGGAGCCAATGACCATGCTGGTATTGGCCTTCCAGCTGCTGGCCCTCTTCTCGATCGCCGGCGCGCTGCTCATCTATCTGATCTGCAAGGTGCGTGAGGACAGTGCAGCGGCCAGCGCTGCCGAGTCGCAGCCAAGTCGTGTGGTCCTGGTCACCAGTGCGGATACCGCTCTGGGTCTACAGCTGTGCACGCATTTGGCCAACAAGGGTTGCCGCGTCTTTGCTGGGATGAAGGAGGCACATGATTCGTTGCCAGCCAAGCTACTTTGCGGCTGGATGAAGATCCGGGAATATAGCGAAGAGCCCATTGCTGGTACCATTATACCAATGCGTTTGGATGTGACCCGTGAGGATGTGCTGCGCGAGGCGACGGTGGCAATGGGTGCCCACCTCAATGCCGATGAGCGTGGCATTGCGGCGGTGATCAACACTAGCGGCAGTGTGTTCCGCGGCAAAGTGGAGTCCCAGGACGTGCAGCAGTGGGAGCATATGCTGAAGACCAATATTTTGGGAACTTTGCGGGTGGCCAAGGCTTTTGTGGGCTTTTTGCGTCCCACACGTGGGCGTCTTCTATATCTTGGCGGTGGAGGAGGTGGGGATAGTGGTCCCCGCTCGGGTGGCGATGGCCTGGTGGCCTTCAATGCCTCCCGCGTGGCCGTGGACAAGTGCGCAGAAGAGCTGCGCAAGGAGCTGCAGCCGTACGGCGTCAGCGTTGTGGCCTTGGACACCTGCGGCATGACAGCCGAGTCTCTCTACAAGGCTCCAGTGGCACAGAGTAAGTTTCCTGGAAATAAAATGATATACAAAATTTATATTTTTATTATTTTTTTCGCAGCCATGTCGGCCACGGCGGGCGCACCCACCCAGTACACGGCGGACGTCCTGAGTCCGGGCGCCCTGCAGGTGATCGAGCGGGCGTTGTGGGACTTTGCGCCGCAACAACGCTATCCGCTGCTCAGCCACAACAAGTACCAATTCACGTTGCCATGCCGCTCCTCGCTGCGTCTTCAGCGGCCCTCAGCAGGCGCTGTTCCATCATCCGAGGCGTCCGCTGCCACGCAATCGGTTTAAGGACAATGCTGTCTTGTTAATGCTGCTGCTTCCCCATGTTTTCTGTATATACGCTCCCGAACTCCTTGACTCCCCCTGCTCCCGAGACACCTGTTCCTTGCTAACCGGGACTCACTTTGCTTTTAATCTTTTTCCCGCCAAAAATATAACGTGCGCGGCGGCATTCGGCAAAATTATTTTGTTTCTTCTTCCTCCTTTTGTCAGGAAGAAATGCGTTTTTATAATATTATTATATACTCATTTTTTGTACACAAACACTGCTCTACCGTAATGTTACGAAATTTTGACAAAAAAAATAAAAACTTTTGTGCTAATCAAAAAAAAATAAGCGCGACGAGGCGGCAGGAAGCCCGCACGTGTTTGTCTCGTAAAGGGGATTGATTTGATTGACTTTGGGTCACTGTAAATAGTCTTTTTCTTGGTTTTTCCACTAGTTTCGAACAAAATTGAGTTGTAATTTCAAGAACAGAAAACTTTTACCGGTTTAACAACTAGAGCTGAGCACAATCACAGCTTGTAAGGATTTCTAAGCTTTAATCGGTTGATATCGTGGTTTTCCCAGCTCTAGCAGTCGTTATGTCAATTTTTAGAACATTTTCAAAGGAGAGCTAAATTAGGTGTGTGCACACTGCTCGCTAATGCAACTGTGTAAGAAATCAGTAAAAGAGAGCAGTTTTTGCGTCACCTTATTTTTTTTAGACCTTGGCGAAGTTAAATTTGGTGTGGACACACTTTCTCATTCGCCGGTTGAGACCTTAACCCTATCATGGACCGGTGGGGTCTCTTGAGTATTAGCAACGAAACTAAACAAATCTTAATATTTTAAACTGTTTTATGGGTTGAATTAAAAACAAAACCATCGCAAATGGCTTAACCTTTTTGTAGTCATATAGCTATAGGTTTATTTATTTACACTACACTTCGAACAGTAAAAAAAACAACAAGTTAGGCCAGCAACTCCCATTTTTAGAGGTTACTTGGCCTGCTGCTGAGCCTGGGCCTTTGTGCGCTCCTCCAGTGGATCGTAGCCGGTGGCCATCTTCTCCTTGAACTGCTCATAGGTGCGTTTGCGATCGAAATGCTTCACCCATTGGCCGGGACACGATTGCTCAAAGGCCTTGCGTAGACTCTGGCAGGCGCTGGGCACCTTTTCGCCACTGGTGGAGCTATGCTTGGGCGCATGCTGGTCCAGGCACTTCCAGTACTCGTCACGGTTGTTCCAGCACTTGGCGCGCTCCGCCTTGTCCGGGAAACTCATCGCTCAGTCCGCCGCCGCCGGCTAGGTGGTTCTTATTGGGTTGAGGTTGAGTCTTGGTTTTGGAATCTGGTGTTCTTGTGGGTTTTGTAGGCAGAGTTTCACATTAATTGCAAGCGGTGTGGTCGGAATTGAATTAATTTAAGCCGCTGTAATTAATTTACAAGACTTTTAAGCTGTTTAATTCATTAAAAAAGGAGCAAGAAACCAACCTCAAAAAATTACAAAACAAAAACTCAGCTGATTGATATCGATTTCGATTAGAGCCGTATTTAATGGTATTTTATACCTATCGATAATTTTAAAGCCCCACTGATTTGGTATTTTTATCTAACTCAATTGGTATTTTTGGTAGTCAAGGAGGGTTTTATTGGTAGATAATTAGGCGGTCACACTGCCTCCCGCCAAAAACACCGCGTACGGCGTGCAATTTTTTGCTAACCGAGTTTTGTTTGCGTTTGTATTTGCTTTCGAACGGAACAAAGCTCTTTCTTTGATTCCCCCTACAAGCCACCAATAGAAGTTACCTCCAACAATGGCCCACGACGGGGAACAGTTCATCAAAGATATTCAGCGCGAGTATGTGGACTTTCTGGACGACGAGGAGGACCAGGGCATCTATGCCGGTCACGTTAAAGACATGATAGCCGAGAAGAGCAAGCGCCTGATCGTGAACGTCAACGATCTGAAGCGGAAGAATCCCCAGCGGGCAATGGGTCTGCTGAGTAACACCGCCGACGAGCAGCTGGCCTTCGGGCGTGCCCTCAAGGAGTACGCCTCAACGGTGGATCCCAGCTATGCCAAGATGCACGAGGATCTATTCGTTGGCTTCGAGGGATGCTTTGGCAATCGACATGTGACGCCGCGCAGCCTCACCTCCATTTACCTGGGCAACATGGTCTGCGTGGAGGGCATTGTCACGAAGGTCTCCCTCATCCGACCGAAGGTGGTGCGCAGCGTCCACTACTGTCCCAATACGCGCAAGGTTATGGAGCGTAAGTACACGGATCTTACCTCCTTCGAGGCCATACCTTCTGGCGCCGCGTATCCCACCAAAGATGAGGATGGCAATCTCCTGGAAACGGAGTACGGTTTGTCAGTTTACAAGGATCACCAGACACTGACCATACAGGAGATGCCGGAAAAGGCGCCGGCAGGCCAACTGCCCCGCTCCGTGGACATTGTCTGCGACGATGATCTTGTGGATCGCTGCAAGCCCGGCGATCGGGTGCAGATAGTAGGCAGCTATCGCTGTCTGCCTGGCAAGCGAGGTGGCTACACATCGGGCACCTTTCGCACTGTCTTGCTGGCCAACAACATTTCGCTGCTGAGCAAGGAGAGCAACCTGGATATATCGCGCGAGGACATTATGCTCTGCAAAAAGCTGGCCAAGAACAATGATATCTTTGAGCTGCTCAGCAAGAGCCTGGCCCCGTCTATCCACGGGCATGCGTATGTCAAGCAGGCTATTTTGTGCCTGCTCCTGGGCGGCGTAGAGAAGCTTCTACCGAATGGCACTCGCCTGCGTGGTGACATCAATGTCCTGCTTATAGGTGATCCCTCGGTGGCCAAATCCCAGCTGCTGCGTTATGTTTTGAACACGGCTCCCCGGGCTATACCCACCACGGGTAGGGGATCCAGTGGTGTCGGTCTAACGGCGGCAGTGACCACGGATCAGGAGACGGGGGAGCGTCGTCTGGAGGCTGGAGCCATGGTTCTGGCAGATCGCGGGGTGGTCTGCATCGATGAGTTTGACAAGATGAGCGACATTGATCGCACGGCCATCCATGAGGTGATGGAGCAGGGTCGTGTGACCATCTCCAAGGCGGGCATTCATGCCTCTCTGAACGCACGCTGCTCGGTGTTGGCCGCCGCCAATCCGGTGTACGGGAGGGTGAGTACTGAACTTAATCCTAACCAGATCCTTGAGGAACCCTAATTCTAATCTCTCTCTCTTAACAGTACGATCAGTACAAGACTCCCATGGAGAACATTGGTCTGCAGGACTCGCTGCTGTCGCGTTTTGATCTGCTCTTTGTCATGCTGGACGTGATTGACAGCGATGTGGACCAGATGATATCCGACCATGTGGTGCGCATGCATCGCTATAGGAATCCCAAAGAGGCCGATGGAGAACCCCTGTCCATGGGCAGTTCCTATGCCGATTCATTGGCCTTTGTTTCCCGGAATGAAGAGGTAGGTGTTTACATTTATAAAAAATGAAATATTCTGATTTATATACTCCTTCTCCCTCTCTTTTCCTCCTCAGAAAAAGGACACCGAAGTCTATGAGAAATACGATGCCTTGCTGCATGGCAAATCCCGTCAGCGTCACGAGAAGATCCTCTCCGTGGAGTTTATGCGCAAGTACATCCACATTGCCAAGTGCATGAAACCCAAGCTGGGTGAGCAGGCCTGCGAGGCCATAGCCAATGAGTACTCCCGCCTGCGTTCCCAGGAGGCGGTCGAATCAGATGTGGCACGCACTCAACCGATTACAGCTCGTACGTTGGAGACCCTCATCCGTTTGTCCACTGCTCATGCCCGGGCACGCATGTCCAAAACGGTGACCATTGACGATGCCCAGGCAGCCATTGAGCTGGTGCAGTTTGCCTACTTTAAGAAGGTTTTGGAGAAGGAGCGTGGCAAGCGCCGCCGTCACAGTGGTGGCTCAGACGAGGAGGAGGGGGAGGAGCAGGACAATGGCAGTGCTGCTGCTTCCCACCGATCGCCATCGCGTCGAAGCAAGCGCACTCGCATCGAAGTGGCTGGCGGGGATAGCGATGAGGAAGATATAGAGACACCCCAGCCGGATGCCGGTGACTTGACGCGCCGCGAGACTCGTAGATCTTTGCCTGCCCAGAAGGCGGTTGCTGCCTCCACCACATCCAGCGAGGAGCAGTCGTCCTCATCGTCGTTGCCAGCCACCATCAGCGATGCCCGTTTGGGCGGTTTCAAGAGCAACTTGCAGCGTCTGTTCCGCGAGGCACGCGAGCAGAGCCTTCCGCTGGCCAGGATCACCACGGCCATTAACGATGGCAATCCGGAGCCCTTCAGTGGCGGCGAAATCGAGGCTGCCGTTCATCGCATGACCGAGGATAACCAAATCATGGTGGCCGACGATATAGTTTTTCTCATCTAACCCAAGCATTCCACTCATTGCAACCAAGGAGCATCTGTATCTCCAACGCCATTTATCTCATCAATTATCTATTCTTTATTATTCATTTTATTGGCTAAGTTATATATATATTTTTTTTGTTCATATTTTTGTAATAAACGTATTGGAATTCTCATGCTAAATTCGATAAATGAGTTTTTCAGGCTTCGCCTGCCATGTACAAGCAAAGAAGCAAAAAGAGAGTTTACTACAGATTCTTAAGCTCTTTCAAGACTCTAAAAAAAACCCCCTTTAAAGTAATAACACAATCGGTTAGATATATTAGGGTATACATAGATTTTTCTTATATTTGAGACAGTCATAGGCATACATATAAACATTAATTTTAGTGTTCTAGCGATCTACAAGGTTTCACAAAAAAATAATAGTTTCAAGAAGACATACGATTAAAATAAAAGAACAAGAAAAGAACTGACATTTAAATCACAAATTGGTCCAACAACCTTGAAGTTATATTAAATAGAGCTTGAAAATATACATTATACATGAATACATTATTCGCTCTCTAAAAGAGCGTAAAAAGTAAAATATTAACGCAAAACGCTCTCAATGAGAGAGAAAAATTAATTGAGAAAGGAAAGTTTTTTATAAAATTTTTGGAAAGTACATTATTTTGTTTAAAGAAAAAAATTCGCATTTTAAAAGAGAGTTTAAGATAGTTTTTTTTATGAGCATTTTTGTTGGCATCTAAAAAGTTTAGAATTTAATTTGAGAAAGTTCTAAAATATATGTATATTGCAACGATTATATTTAATACTTGGCTTGGACTAATATTCAACGTTCTTCAAAACTTTCTCTCTGTCGCTTTTGTGACGGTCTTTTTTCAAAGAGACAAAATGCAAAGCTCTGAGAGTGCTTAGCTGCACAAGAATCCTTTCTCTCTCTCTCTCTCTCTCTCTCGATTTTGTGACGCCATTTCTGTAAGAAAGCTCTCTCAGTGAGAAGAGAAAGAGGGATCTTTTCGAGAAAACTTCAAAAGAGAGAGAGAGAATGGAAGACGGCTGCTTTGAATTTAAAGTTCCTCTCAGAGTGCTTAGCTGCACAAGAATCCTGTCTCTCTCTCGCTTTTGTAATGCCATTTCTGTAAGAAAGCTCTCTCAGGGAGAAAGAAGAGAAAAAGAGATCTTCAAGAGAGCGAGAGAGGGAATATATGAGGACCGCTCTGAGAGACTTTTCTTCAATGGTTTCCATCAAGAATTTTTAATGAAACGAGAACAAGAACAAATTTAACTAGAAAGGGATAAAGCGACTAATCTCCGGTTAAAACTTATATACACTGATTAGGAGCACCTTCGTTAACACACAACACGCATACACTCCGCTTAGTCACACACTCATCCACACACACTCACAAAATTTAGCTAGACAGCCGCTGGCTAGGATCAAAGGTTCACCACATTCTTAAGATCCGGCGGTAGCAGTCCCTTCATGCACTCGATTTGCGCCCTTATCTGCTGCTGGTGCCCCGTGGTGGCCTCCACTTGCATGCCCTTCTCACAGTAGAGATTCAGTTTCTGCTTGAGCTTGAGTATCATATCGATGATCTCCACCTCCTGCTTGTCGTGGGCCCAATGCTCCAAGTTCGCCTCCGAGAGAGCCTGCAGCTGGAGGTCCTGCAGCGTTAACTGCAGCTCCCGATGCCGGGCCTCGTACCAGCCCCGAAAGTTTGGCGATCGAAAGAAACGCCTGTACAAACCCTTCCAGTCACCCTTCAGGGGCGACGTAAGCTGCGGTCCCGCCGTCTCCAGGGTGGCCAGGAAGTCTTCCAGCTTAAAGCTGCTCGCATTCGGCGCCGACTTGAAAGGACTGATATCCTTTTGCAGCGGCATTAGCGAGGCCATATAGCGTTCCAGTGGAATCATGAAGCTCTGCGTTAGCTCCAGGAGATGCCGTCGTATAAGAGCGGTCTGGACATGCTCGGGTCGTTTGGTCTTCATGCCCAGGAGCACCTTTTTGATCAGCGCCTTGTCCTTTTTCAGGTAAGGCTTGTATTTGCTATGCAGGCCAGCGCTGGAGCTTTCGCCGGCAGCTAGACCGCTGCCATTGGCAAGGCCATTCAAGCTTGAGGTGGTCTTCAGGGAACCCGCTGTCAACGATGAGCTGGAGAACGAGGTGGCCGAGGCTATGTTGCGGGCATGATGCAGATGCTGTTGCTGTTGCAGCATGTTTTTCTGAAAGAGGAGGAAATGGGTTATAAAAAGAGAAATGAAAGGGGGAGAATCTACCTGGAATCTCACCTGGTTATCCACCAGCCTTAGCATATGCGGCCAGGCTTTGAGCAGCTTCACGAAAAACGGATTGGTTACGCCGAGAATACAGGCAGGCACCGTTGCCGCCGTGGCCTTGCTTTCCTGCGTAAACTCCCGAAACTCACTGTCATGGATGGTAAAGTAGGGTCTCGCCTCGGCGCAATACTCCAACGGTGCTATCAACGCCACCAGGGTTTGCACCATATGAGTGCAGTCTGCCGGCGAGGTGCCCACCACTACGATGGGCTCGGCGGTTATAACCAGCTCCCACAGCGTATATAAATGCTCCATGACAAAGTCCAAGGAGCGGAAGAGCTCGATTTCGTTGACAGACATAAGGATCTTGTTGGCCGTTGTCGAGGCAATGGCACGCGGCGACTCCCCACCCTCCGATGATGAGGAGGATGTCTCCATTGTGTTGGTTTTCCTGCTGGTGGTGGCACGCGGTATACATATCTGATAGCTGCAGTCGAGGAGGGGCAGCTGTAGGGTTTGACCCACGCGCAGTAATGGCCACTGGCGGTTTATCTGCTCGCTGGCCAGGCGCAGGATGTCCAAGGTACCCGAGCCCGAGTTTTCCGAGTCAAAATAAAGCGGCGCCAGCTGGCCAAGTATGTCGTAGTAGAGATTGAAGAACGGCAGCCGGGTGATGATGATAAAGCTCTTCTGGAAGTAACCACGGGGTAGATTAGGATCGCGCTTCTGTCGGAAGTAGACAAAGCCCCAGTAGTGGGAACCATCCTGCCGCAGGGCCGGCGGACACTCTGCGTTGTAGTTTTGGAGCGTGTCCTGGCGCGTGGTGGCCTTGGTGCAACGGAAACGCATATGAAACTTGGTGTCGCCCATGCAACCGGAATTGGAGTCCGGGAAGGCCATGTAGCAGATGTTGCTAACCTCCTGGTCGCTGGGCATAAAGGTCGGGGGATAGACATGCTCCAGGGCCTGGCCCAGGTTCAGATCGAAGGTGACCACGCAGAAGCAGTGCATCCATTGGGAGAAATTCAACCAATCGCTGGCGCTGGGCTGCGAGTTCGAGTTGGTGGCATCCGTGCGTCGCTGCTCCTGATCCATTGCCGCTGCCGCCTTCTCCTCCCCCGATCCGGTGGGCGTGGAGTTATCCTGGGTTGGCGCCATATCCTTTATCCTGGCATCAGCGCTCATGGTATTTTGTTTTTATTTACAAAAAAATCTTTGACTGGCGACATTGACAACTGTCGTGGGGTTGTAGAGATGGGCGATAGTTGACAGTCAACATACGATATATCGTGTCACGATGCATTTTTCAATTATTTAGTTTTTTAATTATTTATATTTTGTTAAACTATATATTTAATTTGTTTTATACGGTTTTTGGGTAATAATAAAAATATAAAATTATTTTTGTGACATTTTTATATTTTCTTCTAGCATATCTGCTCTTTGTTTTTTCCTTTATATATTTTTTCCATCTCTATTTTAAGTTGTATTATACAAAAACTTTCACTTTTCGTTGTTTTTTTTATTTTGCACTTTCTCTGGTCGTTGCCAATTTGGTGGATTTTGTAACGGCTTGTAAGATTGTATACATTATACATAAATTTTTTTTTTGTTTTTCATAAATATTCAGTTTTTTTACTATATAATATATCAATTTTTTTTAAAATTATTATCCCTTTTTGGCCTAGGATCTTAAGAGCTATATTCTTAGAAATCAAAAATATGATTTTTTATATTATAATTAAAACTAGTAAATATTTAATAGTTAAATGTTTCGTAAAAAGGCAAAAGGAAAAACAACAATAAGAAAACAGTTAGTATTAATTGCAGAAATAAATATTTTTTAAAAAATATATTACATAAAAAAAGTATTAAATTTAAAAATTTATAATTTAATAGCTAAATATCTCGATAGAAAAAATACTAAATTATCAGAACTGCTAGTGATGGGTAAAAATACGCTGTCAGAACTGTTAGTGATGGGCGATGAGCGCCTTTTGCATATTTGGTTTATTTTTAAAAACTTTTCATCAAAACAAAACAACACGTCTTGCATTTCATTCTTTAGAACAACAAATATTAAAATTGGCTTAAATTTGCTTGAAATTCCACAATCAATCAAATTGTCGAGCGAAAATCGAGAGACGATAGACCGCAAAGAGTTTCCCGCCCAAATGAGCGGCGTCTGAGATTGTTCTTATAAAAACAAAACAATTGCGAAATGCCCATAGCGTCTTTTAAGTGCGTACGCGAAGTGAGCAGCGAAGATGCGGTGAGCTGGGGCCTTATTCTCCTATATAGAAACATATACTCATCAATTGGAATCCCTTTCAGGTCCATGTGGCCGAGAATCTGCTGAAGGAGAGTGCCGGCAAAAAGTGGCGCACCAAATCCGGCAACGAGAAGTCCGCCTATGTGATCCTGGAGTTCCAGGAGCCTCAGCAAATCACAGGCATCGACATAGGCAACGAGCATTCCGCTTTCATCGAAGTTCTGGTCAGTCGCACCGGCTGCCAGGCGGACGATTTCCGTGAGCTCCTCCTGTCCAGCTCGTTCATGACTCCCATTGAGAGCAAGAACTCGAGTAACCAAAATCGCGTACGGTGCTTCAGTAGCCCCTCACTGGACCAGACAGCCCTGCCCGAGAAGTGGAAGCTGCTGAAGATTGTGTGCACGCAGCCCTTCAATCGGCATGTCCAATATGGCATATCCTTTGTCAAGGTGCATGTGGTGGCGGCTCCGACTCCAACTGCAGCTCCTGCCAAGGTCAAGAGTTTACTGCCCGAAAGGATGATGCAGTTTGGGGCTTTTAAGCTGCGCGAAGAATCCCCAGACTCTGAGAACGACAGCCAGTTGACCAGGTTTCAGAGCTGGAAGAAGGAGTCGCATCTGAAACAGCAGTCGCAGTCAGCACCTGCAACCACAGCGGCGGCCATTAGGGATGCCGGATCCACGGCCCTGAAAAGACTCAGCCTGGGCAAGGTCTCCGCCAGCTTGCCCAAACCCTCGTCCAGCCCATCGCCCGTTCCAATTAAGGATGGTGAAGCTAGCGACGTCAAGCCCTTGGATCGTAATAGAGCTTCATTGCTGTTTGGTGAGGATGACGATGATGCCTCCAACGTCGAAGATGCCGATGAGCAGAGTGCCAAAAAGCGACGACTAAGCAAGCATTTGGAAGCAGATAAGGATCGCAGGCGACAGGAGCAGGAGCGGCAGCAAAAGGAGAAGGAGTGCAAAAAGGACAAGTCCAAGTCCAGACATTCCCTGGACAAATCTAAATCAAAAGATAACAAATCCTCAGGCAAAGAGGAGGAGAAGCCGGACAGGAAGGATATGGAGAAAGGGAAAGAGAAAGAGAAGAAAGAGAGCAAGCCAGGAGCCAAGAGAGAGGATAAGCATGAGAGCCGGTCCAAGCACAGAGAAAACTCTAAGACCAGGGACAATTCTCGGCCATCGGCCCAAAAGCGTCTCTCCTCCTCGCCTACAAACACGCCAGCCAAAAAGCCCCGAATTAAGGATAAGGATACGGATCCCATTATCCATTATCGTCCTTTTAATCAACTGCTCAGCGGCGTGGTTCTGGTGATCAGCGGCATACAGGTAAGCTTGGTAAACTTAGGTATATCGAAATTTGAAGTCAAAATATCGATTTATATTATATATTTATCGAATTTGACATCAATAATCGATAAAACTGGGATCATAACAGCCATAACTTTTACAATAAAAATCATAAAAGAAGAATTATTTCTTCATTTATACATATTTTCTGAAATGTACTTTATTAATTAATTTAAAATATATTTCCCTACAGAATCCCGATCGTGCCGATTTGCGTTCAAAGGCCACCGCTCTGGGGGCCAAATACAAAGCGGACTGGGAGCCAGGATGCACTCATTTGATGTAGGTTTCCTAATAATTTATAATAATATGAAAAAATACATATATATATATATGAAACCTTTTCAGTTGCGCCTTTAAAAACACTCCCAAATACAATCAGGTGAAGGGGAAGGGCAAGATTGTCACACGAAGCTGGATCGAGAAATGCTATAATCTGCGAAAGTATCTACCTTGGCGGCGCTACGCTTTGGACACCAACGATCTGGGCCAGCCAGAAAGTGACGAGGAGCTGTGCGATGAGGCCAGAAAGCCGAGCTCGCGTAGAGAGTCCAACGAGGAGGAGGATGATGAAACCATCAAGGTGACTAACACCTATGATGCAGATCCCAAGGATAAGAAAAAGCTAATTCAGAGTCAAGAAGAGGCATCCTCAGGCATCGACACGGAAGATGAACTGCAGCGTGTGGCCGATGGTAAGTGCTTTTAAATATTTTAAAATTCAATCTATATTTTACATATTTACTTTAGAAAACCGTAAGAAAAAGGCCAAGCACAAGACTCTAATTAAAGCGAAATCCGAAGAGGATATATACGATGTCAGCACCGAGGAAGAGGATTTTCTAGTGGAGAAAAAGAAACAGATAATTGTTGTCGATTAAGTGTCATATTATTTAAGGTACTTCCTTGGGTTTTTAAAGGTTTTTGAAATATGCCACATATTTAATAATTAATTGTTTTTTTTTCTGTCCCTGTTATTTTCGAGTCTTTCGAATGCTGGCAAATCCGTAGTGACAATGTTTACAAATAAAATAAGATGATGAATACGAAAATTTTATTTTTTACAGAATTTACAGAATTTTTTATTTATTTATTTCTCGAAACCATTTTGAAAAAGTGTCACCTTCAGGATAATACCTAGGTCCATCTCTAGCGGGAGCACCAGGAATTGCTTAAAGCTTTGGCTGGCTCATCCTATTGCCAAATGTAGGCTATACAAAATGTTGAATGTAAGCTCATATCCTGGGGGTTAAGCCACCGAAAATTAAGCTTTTCAAAAACAAATACAATAAAATATTATGGAACTCCGAAAAGAAGAGGCATTTTGCAACCCCAAAAAACAGGTGGCAAGCAACAGCTGGCTGCCTTTGACAGCTGCGCTCTCTCCGAAAATAACGGAGCTTCCTGGCAGGCTGACACTTGCGCTGTGACCTGGTTGGAGCAATATAAGGTGGTCTCAACATCTCTCTCTCTCTCCTTAGCTCTTGTCCCCAGCTTTCCGTCGGCTCTGACGAAAGCAAGAGAGAGCCGTTCTCGCATTGAGACCACCTTACATGCTTTCACTATGCTTTCGCTCTCTCTCTCTTCCCCCCACACGTGCGCCAAACAGCAAGCTAACGGTGAAAAGCGCTGCGCTCTCCCATTCACAGTCGTGTGTTTGCTGGCGAGCGAAGAGTTGAGAGCGTCATTTGGGAGTTAAACAAAATCAACGGAATTGTTTATTTATGGTAAATATAAAATAACTTGTAATAAGCACTGCTTACGTTGCCACCGTGGAGTCACAGAAAAATCCTAGGCCACAGCCGCAATATCCTGGAACTGGAACCAAACAAAATTCCTGGCGGAGCGGAAAAGTGACGGAAGGTGGCTCGCCTGGCAAATTGGAAAATCGATACGATTGAGCCGTAATTAAAATATGCTGATAACTTGTCATTTCCTTTTTTCTTTTCTTTTTTTCTTTCCTTGTTTATCTTTAGAATAAGCTGGTCTTAGCGAAACTAAGTTTTTGAAAGCCGCAGGAATCGCAGGACGTAGAGCAGAGCAGAGGAGGAGAGCAGCAAAGCCAAAGGTGAGGTGGGGTCACATTCTACACTCACACACAGAGAGAAAATCCTAATGAAATCGCTTGTGATAACAATTTTTCACAAGATTTTTTCAGTTTTGTAAATGTTCAAGGAAACGTTTAGGGATTATTTATTGAATTTATCAATTTTAGAAAATTGTTGAATTAATTTATCTTCCATTTAGGGATTATTTATCATATTTATCTAGTTTTTGGGTTTTAATTCAGCAGAAGACTTGAAGAATATCTCAGATATTTTAGGGTTTTAAAAATTATATTTAAAAATTAATGTTCAATTAAAATTTTGAAATTAAAATTCCCAACGATTTCTATTGTATATCCTTATCATACCCCCCTAACTAGACCTAAATAAATGTTTTAATTCTTCCACAGATCACCCATTTTGTCATCTAGTTAGGAAGCGAACAGCAATCTTCGGTCAAGAACATGGGTAACGAGACCTCCCTACCCATGGACATGTGTTCCAACTTCGATGCCGACGAGATCCGGCGGCTGGGCAAGCGTTTCCGTAAACTGGACCTGGACAATTCCGGGGCGCTGAGCATAGATGAGTTCATGTCGCTGCCGGAATTGCAGCAGAATCCATTGGTGCAGCGCGTTATCGATATCTTTGATGCCGATGGCAATGGCGAGGTGGACTTCAAGGAGTTCATCCAGGGCGTCTCGCAGTTCAGTGTGCGCGGCGATAAGCTGTCAAAGCTGCGGTTCGCCTTTCGCATCTATGACATGGACAACGATGGCTACATCTCCAACGGGGAGCTCTTCCAGGTTCTGAAGATGATGGTGGGCAACAATCTGAAGGATACACAGTTGCAACAGATCGTAGACAAGACCATTTGCTTTGCGGACAAGGACGAGGATGGCAAGATATCGTTCGATGAGTTCTGTTCGGTGGTGGGCAACACTGACATACACAAGAAAATGGTGGTCGATGTCTAGGGCATATGCGTATATAAGTACATATAATAGACATACTATGTAGAGCATAGGATCCGGATAACCAAGTGTGTGTATGTGTACCTTCCGCTCAACCCGTTAAGCTTTATATATATATATATTAAATGGATCTTGTGTATGTCTGTCTGTCGTCGGTCTGCGTGCCAAAAGAAAGCAGTTCGTTCACTCGATTCTTACTCGATACCTATCTAGATATAAATATATATAACCTATATGCACATACCTGACCGATCTCTCATCCTCAGAATGCTATGAATTGTGTCTTATACTCATACGAAACCACCGGCAACGGACCACTACAAAAAAAAAAAAAAAAAAAACGCATCCTCCTCTTACCTTGGAAAACCCTAACCCTAGACCTTTTACCCAACCATCAAGAAAACGCTCTCCCCCCATTCGATAAGTATTTGCTATATATATGTAGGTGACTTAAGATTGACGACGACATCCGACATCTCGCTCGCATCATCATCTCAAGCTAGTTTGTACTGTATCCTAACTCTACGTTCAATTCAAAGTCTAAAACTTAAGTTAATCTCTCGACTAAATGTTGTGTATAAGATATGTAAAAACTACAACTACAATTAAAAAATGTTTATCGAATAAAAAGGAAAGAAAAGCATTTGGGGAAATGGTGAGAAACTGGTGTGGGGTTTTTGGCGGCCTCGAACCGAGGAACGCACTCGCAAGTCCTTGGACAAAGAACACGTGCGTGTCTCTTAGCTGGTCGTCGTCTCCCAGAGCTTCCCGAGCTAGAAAATCCTGAAAAAAACACGGAAAACAGGAAAACTAAAAGAAAAGCCCGTAAAAAACCCCCAAGCCGAACTTTTTGGCTTTGTAGGTCACCGATTTTCCCCCATGTGTGTGAGGTGTAAATACATGAAAAGAAAATAAAACAGGTATTCTTGGTTAGTTACAGCTTAGCACTTACTTAGCACTCATAAGTTACAAAACTTAACAGTAACTTTATATTGCCTTAACTGATGACATTTATCTAATAATTGTATAATTTTATGTTTTATGATTAATGATTTAATACGAATTTTTGAGGTCTCTCATTTAATTAGTTTAATTAATTTATGAATTTATGATTGATTTAAGATATGATGTTATTATTATTATTTATTTGGAGCATTCATTTTAATTCATTTCATTTAATTAGTATTAACAGAAAAATGTATTTGAAAATAATAAAGAAATGTTCGAAAATAAAATGAAGAAAGCTTGAAAGGAAATAGTTGATAATTTTATAAATATTTTCTTACATTTTTTTAAAGTTCAATTTAAATTAATTTTTTAGTTATGAAAGGAAATTTAATCAAAAGTTCTTAGGATTTTAAGATATTATTCGTACTTTTGGCTAATTTTGGGGCATTTTCTGGTACAATTACTGGTACTTTTTCTTTAGTCCCACATAGAACGGTTCTTTTATAAAATGGCGCCCAACTATGACAATGGGAACTTAAAGATTAACTTTTAAATTTTAATTAATATATTATTAAATTTATCAATCGATAGAGAAAATATAATATTATATCTTTAAAATGAATTAAATTATTTTATTCCTGTTTTTTAATTTTCCCTTTTTTATGAGATTTTCTCTTACTGTTTTGCAGGAAGCCAGCAAACTATGTAGCTGCCGGGTCTTTTGAGAACTTGTACGGCAACGGAGCCCTTGACCACGGCAGTCACCTGGCGAGGCAAGCAGCGAGGCTCAAAGGTCCTGCGAGAGTCCTTCGCCGGCACGTGTGTGTGTGTGTGAATGCGTGAGTGTGTGTGCTTGGTATCAATAAATTATTATATGCTGTCTGTCGCAAGCTTCGTTCGTTAATCATTTTTCGCCCCCGTACCCTGCTCTGTCAACCTCCTATGAAGGCATTTCCATTTTGAAAATTAGTAGGGTTAATGCCGGGGCTGGCACCTTCAAACTACCACTCTTTACCCCTGTGATTCTCCAGGAGCCTCCACTGGTTGACCTTTTTCCGTTGTTCCGTTTCTATATTAATTGGTTTGATTAATGTGCTCCAATTTTCGGATGGTACGTAACTGCGCCAGGCCCCAATAATCGGGACTTTTCCTTTCCCAGTCACCTCTATCATTGTCTTTTTCAAGGGGAGGGATTTGAAGCTAATGATGGGACAGATACAATTTATATCCTGTTGGTTTGTTAAGGATATAAATATCTATGTCAGAGAAAGAGAAATTTCGGAATCTAAATAATATTAATTTTTAAAGCAATTTTTGATTAAGTATAAGAATTTTGCTTAAAAAACCCGGCTTTTCTACCTCATATTTATTAATTTTAAATTGTTCCTAACCCCCTTTGGTAATTATTTTATTGAATAATGATGGTACAAGTGTATATTATCATGAGCCTTATTGATTTGGTGTATTTTTGGAAACAGGCAGAAACCGAAGGGGTCCCTTAACTTATTTCGCTTGAATAACTTTGTTTTTCGGAGGCCCAAAACTACTTACATACATACATATTCAGTCCGCTTGGTGGGGTCCTTTTTATAAATTATGTATGTACAACGATTTCTACCAATTTTAATGGTTGAGAGAAGCCGAGGGCTGGGCAACAAATCAATATATTATATATGAGCCAAGGTAAGTAAATATTAGGCAGGTAAGTCAGGTAAAGTCTGGGGATATCATACATAAAGCCTCAAATCGAAATTGTCAGCTTTCATTCTATTCTCTCTCTCGGCTTTAGTTTTGTTTTCCGCATATTCCCATGGACAACAAAAAGAAGTGAAAGCTTTTTTTTAGTTTTATGCTGCTTGTTTTTGCCATTTTAGTTAGCCTCTTTTTGCAATAATAATCGCGGCATTAAGTCAAAAGAGGCCCTGCAAAAACAAATGCCAAATCAATGTCCCTGTGTGTGTCTCTCTCCGTTTGTATATAGACAGTTGAGGCCAAGCTAATAAGGTTATTAGAACTTTCTCCAAAATAATTGTGTTGATAACTTAATCATTATGGTTGGGGGTAAACTTTCGCACTTAAAAACTTTTGCACATACGACAAGTGTATGAACAACTTTTCTAATCAAGCGATTGTAATTAATTACCGGAGAGCTTGTGGCTAACCTAATTAGGAAAACTTTATTAAATGCCAGAAAACTGACAATTTAAGTTGAGAGAAAGATAGAAATCTAGAACAAAAAGGGTACCGATATTAGAAAAAAGAAGTCTTCTAAAATCGCCTACATACTTTCCTTAAAAAAAGGGTCCCCGGGCAACCGATTTGCTGCGATCTTTCAATAAAATGGTTGCGAGCTTTGATTATGATCATCAGGAGACTTGATTTAGAACTTATAAAGCTGTGTTGTTTTACGACGTTCCCCTAACTTATGCCTTGCTATATTTTCTTTAGACTTTTTTTTTTGTAGGAATTTATAAAAAACAACCTAAACACCGAAACCAAACCAAAGGACTTTTGCCAAAGATTTCATATACTATGTATATTTTTTTTTGTAAGCTCTTTTCATAATATTTTGTTGACCGCATCTGTGTGTGTGCGGGTGTGCGGTTGAGTGGCATGTGTGTGTGTGTGTGTATAGTGTTTTTTTTTTGGTGCGATAAAAGTTGACTCGTGCCAGTTTCGAGCTGTAACCGAAAACGCATACAAAACAAAGCAGCGAAAAAAGCGGAAGAACGGGAAATGGTGAAATGGAGGGAATTGGGGGAATGGGGAATGGGGATACAATGTGAATGGGAATTACAAAAACAAGCATCAACAACCACCGTTAGCCTCAAGCGCCAGGAGCGTTCTTCTCTCCCACTCTCCATCGCTCTTTTTCTCTACCCCCTCCCACCCATCTGTTTCCGCCCACAGAACCATAAATTCACCATTACCACGCAGCTACCTCAACACTGCACCTCCACACCTCCCCAATCCCCAGTCCCCCCATTAAGAGGTGGCAACAAACAAACGCCGGTGACGCAACGGAACTCGGGGAGCGACAACAACCCGATTCCGCACCCGATTCCATACCCGAATCCCAAACAAAAAAAAAAAAAAAAGCCCGACACGAACCCGAAGGCCAGGGACGGACCTGACCCACTAACCCCCCTATAGCATGAAATCGGACAGCCTTTCCAGGTGACAAAAATCACCAAGACACAGCAAAAACTAGATTTAAAGATCCTCGTTAAGGTATTATTATCCCTTAAGGACTTCATACAATATAGGTAATCTATTTATGCTATAATTCAGGTACATTACCTCCTCCCTAGTTATAGGTATATTAAAATTGAATGCCAAAACAAGGTGACAACCCTTGACATTCAAATGTTATTTTGCTTTTTATCAGAGTGAAGTATCATTATCTATTTATATGATTTATGACTATTAGTGTACAGATTTTGTAGCTAATGAGTTATCATGTAACTTTATCTGTATCTATAAAAAACATTAAATAATTCATAGTTTATTGCTGAGTTCTGGCACATACTTATAGATATTCTCTGTATTTCAAACTCTTTCGTTGTTCTTTTGAATTCTATGAGCTCCGCTCCTGTTGTTCTCGAGGCTCCAACTTCGTCGCCGACTCCGACTCCGACTCCGATTCCGATTCCGATCCAACTCCGATTCTTTTTTTAATTCCGATTCCGAGTCGCGACTCCCGATTCCCGGCGCTGCATGCATCCAACGAATTGCCGTTATATGCCGTTTTTTTTTTTTTTTTTTTTTTTTTTTTTTTTTTTTTGGCACACACAAGTGGCCAGTGTGGCAGGGCAGTGGCGTTGCAGGGGGTTGGTGTGAAATATTTCAATTAAGCCAAAATAATATAATATGTACATATTACACAAAATATTACTCATACGCACTGTAAGCCGTATTTAAATTTATTTAAAAGAAAGTAGTTTAAATATAATAAAAAAGCTATTGACCATTATTATTTGATTAAAATTTGATTGATTTAAAATTAGGTAGTTTTTCCTGAAATAAAAACACTTTTTATAAATTTTAAAACTTGAATTTGGGTTTGAAAAGAGTAAAAAGGTAGCATACCTTTATGGGTTCAGATTATATTGCCAACGGAACTTGGTACTTAACCCAATCCCCGCCCCTTTTATTTTTTGGAAGACAAAGTTAAGTGTCGCCGCCGCTGGGCGGACTAAACGACTTCCCGCCCACAAGAGAGGCAGAAAGGCAACGGCAGCAGAAGCAACAACGAAGAAGGGAGCAGAGGGAGGAGAAGGGAAGAGAGCGCCCGCGCTCACCGACCGTTAGACGAGGCGACCCGTCGACCAAACGACCGACAGCCGAGTCAGAGCGAAGCAGTGGAAGAAGCAGCACAGCAGCAGCAGCAGCAAGGGAATGCGTGTGCCGACGACGACGACGCTATATACACGGTGCCGAGCAACAAATTGAGTCAGTATCGCACAAACAACATAACGGAAACATCAACGTGAAAGCGAGACGGACTCCGTCCCGTTATATGCTGTGTCTGTCTGTCTGTCTGTCTGTGTGTTGAGAGCTTCTAAGTCTACTTTGTCGTCGCGCACTCAAGAAATAAAAAAAAAAACAAACACCAAAAAACAAAAAAAACAATTTAAAAATTAAATACAATTAAAACGGCAACTCAAAAATTGCAGAAACTTTAACACACACACAACTCGCACACAGGCGCATACAGAAACGTATGTCAAAACAAAAGAAACACAAAAAAGAGGAGAGAACAGAAACTGACACCATCAGGACATTGAGAGAAACAGCAGCTTAGATCGTGAGAGAAGACTAACCAGAGATTCAGAGAGTCAGAAAGTCAGAGAGAGGATCGTCAATCAGAGCGGCTTAGTGTCCTTACTTTTGAGCCCGTGAGCGGGCGACAGCCCGAGGGCAGTGAGCAATGTTTTTGACGTTTGCCAACTGCAATCGGCACTTTGGCACTTGGCACTTGGAAAGTTTGCAACTCCCCTCGGGCCAGAAGAGAGACCTGTAAAAATAGACACAGGCAGAAATGCATAAAAAACGTCCGAATTAAGAGTCCAAAGAAAAACCAACAAAAAATCAGCAGCGGCAGCAGCAACAGCAGCAGCGGAGTTGAGTTGAATGCTCATTTCGTCGTGAATCGTCGTGGGTGTCGCGTCCTCAAACACACATATGCAAACAGACATATCTTTAGATGCATATAAATAAACATATCAAAATTAATTTTTTTTCTTGTTGTTCTATAGTTAATATATAAAGTTAAAGAAAAGCAAACAAAAGGAAGAGAAATACAAAGAAAAGCAAGTGCAGGCAAGGGCGCCCGAGTGCGGCCATTGGAAATGGCAAACAAAATGCAGCAGCAACAAATTCAACTGCAACAACAACAACAGCAGAAAAAACAACGGCACTTCCCAAATACATAAGTCCACCGAATATCTATACCGTTTTGTGGTTATTATTTGTCGCGCGCGTTCACACACACACACACACACCTACACATGCAAGTGCATAAATGGCAATATGGACGAGCAGCAGCAGCGGCAGCAACAGCAGCAGCAGCAGCAGCCTGGTATACCAGCACAGTGACACGCGCGTACCAAACATTGCCGATTTTATCATCAGGCGAACGCCAGCAGCAGCAACGACAACAACTCCAGTGGGACCAGCTATTAACTGAAGGAGTCACAACAAGAATAACAATACCAACAACAACAATAACAACAACGAACATTGCTGAAAGGCGTCGCCAAATATCAAAGTGAGTACAGCTACTGCTACATACTGCTACTTCTACTACTATTGCCACTACATTGTACTAACCACTACTACCACTGCAGGGCACATATCAACAAAGAGCAATAAGATAGCACACACACACAACTAACCACTCACTGCACACACACACACACACCGCGCTGCACTCTACACCCCCTACCGCCAAAACAAATCCCGCATACCAACACGAAGCTATTATAACTGTAACCAAAATGCAAGCGCTGAGAGGAGGGGTCAGGAAGAAAAGGACGAGGGAGCTGGGAGCAGGGAGGAAAGAGAGTGCAGAACAAAGGAGCCAAGGAGCCAAGGAGGAGAGAGAGAGAGAGAGTAAGCAGCGTGAATGCTAAATGAGTTATGTGTGCGCATTCCTCAATTCACAGCTGCAGTTGGCACACACACATACACAACCACTCGTAGACAGAGAAAAGCCCGGCTAAAACCCAGATCAAGTGGCTCAAACAGAATTAATTAAAGACTTAACACATATACTCGTACAATAAGAGAGTCACTCGGCGAGAAGCGTGGAAAGCCAAGTTGTACAGGGGGAAATTCCATTTACACTAGTTTTCAAGCTGCAGGAGGACAAAAAAAAATAATAATAATAAAAAAAAGAACCAAGTTAAGGAGCCAGATGAAGGGGCTTTGCTTTTAATAGCTCTTTTAAGGACTTGTTTATAAATGCAACGAGATGGCTCTTTACATTATAATTAATTTTAAGTTTTAGGAATCTTTTAAGCAGAATAATATCATCTTATCTCCTTAGCTTATTAACAAGAATTTTATCGTGGTCTCTAATAATTGTTGGTATGTCCGAATGGAATGGCTTCAAGTGCGAAATACTTGACATTTTGGCTCTGTGCAGTTATGCAGATTTAGGGCCCCAGCTGGGCCGGCCAACCACAAGCCAAAAGACCGCAACCCGAACCAGAACTAGAGCCAGAAGTTGAATTAGAACAAGAGCCGTTTCTTGGGGGCTGTAACAGGAGCTTTCAAGTGCTGTGCAATCAAAGACGGGCCAAAGAGAAGGTCCTCCATGCCGATGACACGTTCGTCAGTGTGTGTGCGCCTGGGCCTGCGGTCGGTCATGCAAATGCATAAGGATTGGGTGGTCCTTGAAAGCGGAATATGAGAGATTTAAGCTCAGCCAAAACAATGACTGATAGTCGCCAGCCCTTTTCCTGTTCTCTGTCGCTCCTTTGACGCACATGGAAAATTCATGAAGAGTCCAAATTGAGTTTGCGGTCGGAACCCCGAAAAACATAACTAAAAATAAATTATTGAGCATGCTGTGTGTGCAACTTTAAGACCATTTGGGGGTTTCAACTTTAAAACGAAAACTTTATGCCGGTCTGACCTTTTCCAAACCGAATTTGTATATGTGTGTAGAGAAGGACCCGGAATAGGACAATTACTAGAAGTGGGTCAGTAATGGCGCTCGTATATCTCAAATAGTTTTTAAAGTAGGCTAATTGGAAAATAACTTACCCTATTAGTGAGTTAGTGTATTTATGCGTGGAAAATATATTATGGTTAATGGAATTTTCCTAAAGTACAACAAGTTTTTATAGAAATTAGAGTCTCTAAACCTATTTTATCTTGTTTCCCAGTTGTTCATAGCTCTTTTCATGTTTCGAAAGGCACTAAAACAGAATAGTAGTTGTTAATTACCCTCCCCCAAACAAAGACCATAACATAAAGCCCAAAATAGACATTTCTTAGTTTTATTGTAAATAACAAAGACCATAAACTAGATAAGTAAATACAAAAATAATGTGAAAGAACCCCCACAACTATTGTAAATAGAATGTCAATTGTGCTTATTTTTCAACCTATTAAACAAAAATACATCAAATAAACTTTTTATGAAAAAGAATACAACAACACTTTGAAACATTCTCCAATTCCCCCTGAGATTAATTTTCGTTTAGTTTTTTTGTGCATTTTTTCAGATTTTTTTTTTTTGCAAATTATTATGTTGCTTTCGCTTTCATCACATTGCTCCCGTTTCATTCCATACGTCCCTCGGTGCGACACGTACCGTTACGTCCCAGTCCCGGCCATTCCGAATGCACTTGTATGTGAAATACGTCTGCGATGTAGGAATTTGCCATAAATAGAACCCGATTCCCGAACTTAGTTCCCAGTTGCTTTCCCAGTCCCGTTCCCAATTCCCATTCCTATTTTTCTCATGCCCAGAAATATCTATATACGCACCACCAGGAACTCCCGAAAAATCTGTCCCATGGGAATCTTAAGTAGCTTTTTGTTTGGCTAATGGAAAATTGCATTTATTTCCGGATCGAATCTTGATTTATTTCGTTAATCTTTTGAATTTTAAATGTCGCCTTATTCTTGTTGTGGCTCCCAGAGTCCTCCGCTGAATGGTTAATGACCAGAAAAAGCGAGCAAAGTGAGCGTAATTAATGGAAACTGTAATCAATCATGCGCTCCAATTAACCGACCCATCCCGGTCCCGATATTCTTGTCGAGAGCAGAGAGAGAGAGAGTAGGTAGTACATATGCCAGACTTTGAATGCTAATGGCAGTGATGAGGTCGGGGCCGTAATGACACCGAACGGTCCTGGTGTACATTTCAAAACTCATTACGATTCACTCGCTTGTGTCCGAGAGGAGACGAGTGTCTGCCTCATATACGTTGAATATATGTACATACATATGTATGTGTGTAAATATATGTATGTATGTATATGGTTTGTGGTCATAGCCGGCGAGTCATCATCTCTGATTTCTTAATTTTTCACTATTGACTGGAGCGCTCCATATTGCAATAATTTCTTTATTTTATTTTGCCTTTGTTCGTGCTACTTGCCATATTTTTTCTTGGAAATTCGGAACAAAAATTTAATTATTCCTGGGGCACGCCTCGAAACTGTGCCGAATTTGGGGGTTGATATTATTGATTAATTATATAAATTAGAAAATAATTTATTAATTTATTTATTTATGAATTATTAAAGACAACATATTAATATTATTTTATTTTAAATATATATGTATATATAACATTAAATATTTCATTGCATACTGTTAAGAGTCTTTTAAATTGATTTAAAATCAGCAAAATTGGTTTAAAGCATATTATTAAACACTATTTAAACATGATTTTACCATTTATAGCCATTTACTCATTTTAAAAAGTCTCAATAACAAAAATTGTATGTGGCTTTTGTGTATTTTCTGGGAAATTATGAGACAAATTCCCCACCAATTGCTAATTTGAAATTAGAAGCTGGCCAATACCCATTTACCTCTGTCAATCTATTGGCCAATAATAGCTTATCCACAAAAACGTCCATAAATTTGGGTAATTATTATTATTTTTTGTGTTGTATATTGATAAAAAAGGGCCCATCGTTATCTCGTTTATCAATAATTAATTCAGCAAAACCACTTGAGTCAACTTCAGTGCGCCAGCAGCCTCTTTCAGGCCCCCTCCCGCTCGAATTTATGAATAACCGAGAACTTAGTTTCATTTATGTATCTGTAAGAGGGACTTTTTTAGGGCCTGACAAGATTGCTATTCATAAAAATCCAGCCAGAGAGAGAGAGAGGGACGCTCGGACGTCTTTTATTCATACCGATAATTGTTTGAACAATTTCGGTGAATACCAAAAATGAATTCATCGATTGCCTGCGGGCCGAGGGCCTTTTCCTTTTCTTCTCGCTTCTTGCTCTTCTCCCGACCTTCCTTTTTCGTGTTTTCGCTTTTCGTTTTTCGCTTCATTTGCTTTTTGGGGTCCTGTGGGAGGACCCGCATAACCTTTACGTCCCCCCCTGAGGGGCCATGCTGGGTGTGATGGTGAGTATTTCACATTTGCTGATTTTTGACGCGTCCATTTACTCTTGATTGATTTTGTACGTATATATGACAGGGATATATATATTTATATATATAATATGTATGTATGTATGTATATATACATATGCATGTGTGAGTGGCGGTTGCATCTACTTAAAAATACATTTATTTCTGCGGCCAACAGTGCGCGAGGTGGAATGAAAACTGATCAAATATTTATACAGTTTGCATAGTCAATTTACATAAGTCCATCAACAGTCCCTGTCCGTCTGTCCCTGTATCCGTCCGTCCGTATGTCCGTCCGCCTGTCTGTCCGCCCGTGTGTGTGCTTTTTTGTGAGTGCTTGTCCAGTGGAAAAATATATTGTATTCAAGAAAAATCTTTATTTAGTAAATAATCTAATTATAAATTTAAATAGTAAATGTAAATAATTGAATACGATATATTTTAATATATTAAATCATCTTAAATTATTTAGACGCGATATGTAAGTAATTTTTTTAAAGCTAAACATTTATACTTATTAATTATATGCGGTAAACTTCTTACATTTTCGATATATAGAAATTCGATTAATCATATTTAAGATTATTATCGAAATCATATCGGATTTTTACTAGAAATACTGACTTGGTCGGTATGTGGCTTACTTTTAGAATGTTTATTTTTCCTGGTAACCTTGTGATTTAACTCATATCCTATATAATTAACTTTACCTTAATTTTCTAAGTGTGCGTTGTTCGACCAACCCCCTTGGCCCACATCCGTGGGCCTTGCCCGCTCTAAGTATGTGTGTGTGTGTGTGTGTGTGTGTGTAAATGTCTAGCCGTATCCTGTCTCATCAATGTCAAAGCAATGAACCCGAATATCCATATTGCCAACGCTTCGCTTATTCAATTTCCCCGTCTGTCTATCTAGACCCGAAGAATCCTTAACCCGCAGCCCTCGAGCCCTAAAACCCAAAGTCTGTGGCTAATACCCTTTTCAAAAGCCTGGCAGTTGGTCTCGGGTCTCGGGTTGGGGGGCATTAAGGTATTAACAGCTTCGACTTGGCGCAAAAAAGGAAAACAGCGTTTTTATTGTGTATGTATGTGTGTTTTTTTTTGTCCCAACATTGTTAATGTGTCTATATAAGCATGTACACAAAGCATACGCTTGCGGACAGGATAATAGCACTGCAAATTTGCATTGTATTCGCCGGAACAGAAAGGCGCTTGGATAAGTACCGAGGGATGAGGTTAGGTAATTCCCCTATTGTGCGGGAACAACAATAAAAAAACATTGATTAGAATGTTAAGATTATCTGAAAGAATGCTAGCTTTCTTTGATTTCATTATTATAAAAGGTTTGTGGGCTTATATTAAATGTATATAAAAAATAGCCCTATAAAGTCTATTATAAAATGTATAGGTGCCAAATTTAGTAGTAATTTAGCTATAAAAAATTTACTAATTTCTATACTGTATTGTTTATTTAAAGAGAAAGTCGATAAATCGATATTTTAGGGTTGTGAAATAAGTGCCATAAATTAATATCTTTTTTTAATATTTTGGACCCATAAAACCAGGAAACAGATTAATATAATCGATATTTTCGATATGATATTGATTGCTTTATTGTCGATATATCATATTAATCGTTATTATATTTTTATAATAGAAAAAAATAAACAGAACACATTTAAACACCTTAAGATAATATATATAATATTTGCAAAAACCACAAATATAATTTACAGCTTGTGGTATTATTTTTTCCAACACTACTGTATACCGTGTGCATATGTTAAGTATATACGCACTCAATTAGAAAGGAAAATGAGAAAAATGTGGAAAATGGTAGAATCGTTTATGACTCAGCATAGTGCGTGGTGGAGTCCGCCCGCATTTGGCCATTAAAAATGCTCAGGCATGTGTAATTGTTTTACACACAGTAGAGAAAAAGAGAGATGCCCGAGATATCGGGCCTTGTTTGATGTCTATAATACACACTATATTGCATGCCATATACCATATACTACACGTATATCTGTATGTGTATATGCGGGTATATCAGTGGCATCCATCTTGACAGGTGCCGACAACTTTTGGATAGCAATGTCAATTCTTGTCAAAACAATTTCTTTGCCTTCCGATTCTCCGGGAATTGGGGGAATGGGAATGGTAACAGGGACACGTGAATTACGCAAGAATAAGCCCCAACTCCAAGGGCATAATGTCTACCATATCCTATAGTCTATACATATATATATATAAATAGCAACCCGCAATCGCAGAGCTTGACACACGTAAAGTAAGTAGGGTTTTCCGTTGATGGCTTCATTAACCTGATTCGGTCTAGCCAAAGGGTATTATGAATTGGAGGGTAAGCTTGTAAGTCACACAGATTTTTCTTTTTATTTTTATTTAAAATAGATTTTTTCCAGGTAATAAACCCATAGCACTAAGCTACAATAGAGAGATAGGGTCTATAGGGTAGCGACTTCTTTAGGACATCACTTTACCTTAACATTCAGCTTGGTTTCCAATCGTAAGATGCTAGAACTAGTTGGAAATTATAATAAAAAGCGATTTTTTTGTATATTTATTTTTATTTATTTTCATATTATTATTAATATTAGCTTCTGACTGAAATTATAATACCCTGCCAGGGTATAAAATTATGAATGAGAGTATAGAACGATGGCTTTTCCATGTATTTTACTCTACCATCTGTCTGCCTGCCTGTCCATCAACTATTCTTTGGACACTTCGTGATGGAGAGTTGCCAGGGGCAGCCGTTGTACACGGTGCGGTGGGTTAAGTCAGACCCATATCGAAAATGTCAGGATTTGCAGTCGCTTCTCAGTGGCCAGACAGCTTGGCAGGCATGGAGCTGCTCCAGGCAAGTGTTTCAATCATTCAATTCAAGTTTAGGACAAAGTCTAGGACCCGGGGGCTGTGAAGTGGATTAGCAGCCTTTGTGTATGTGTTTTAAGCGAGTAAATGGGACATCTTTTGTTGCTGCTATTGTTGTCTCTTTAAATTATGTAAGACTAGGGAAGATAATATATATAAAATATATTTAGGAATCAGTAAATAACATTTTAACCAACAGAAATATAGATTCCCCTACATGATTAACTTATTTTCTTCAAGAGCTATTTTTTCTTACACAAAAGGTGGCATTATCGCTTAGATAATATAAAACAAATATATAAATAACTGAATAAAGTCTTAAAAATAAAAATTAAATCGTTAAAAGAAAATATAGAAAAAAGAATTTAAATTTTAATTCTCAAACGAATTATTTTTAATAATTAATTTAACATAATTTGTTGCTTAATATACATACATATATTATTAATTAAATTATAAACCTTGAAGAATTTCCTTTAAAGTTCATGGACCAAAGGCTCAGCAGCTTGGCTGTGAGATTATTGTTGTCCAGAGGCCCTGAGGAGGGTTGAGGTTTTTAATCTTTTGGTGGCTTTTGTCGACGATTTTCCGTGCAATTAGAGGGTGACCCCTCCTGTGGCATCTCCTCCACTATCATTTTTCCCTATTTTTCCATATTTTTCCCCCATTTTCAGCGGTTTTTATTTATTTTTTTTGCGCAAACAGCGTTTTTGACGAATGCAACGAGGTTGTTGTTGTTGTTGAGGTGAGTTTTGGGTGTGGAGTGGTCCCTTGTACTTGTATTTGTGTGTGTGTGTTATCCTGGCCTACAGGATAAAACCGGGCCAAGTTAACGATTTTCTTGTTTTGCTGTTTTCTTTTTCCCTCATGTTTTTTTTCTTTCTTTTTTTTTATTTTTGTATTGTGCGAATGAAATTTATGTAGAGAGTCCCGCCTGAAAGCCAAAGGACCCTGGGACCCGGCCTCCCGGTCCCGTGATTTTGAGTTGTGCAATAAATTTGTATCTGTACACGCGGAGTCCGGACAGCTGCGGACTTGCAGATTGAAGATTGAAGGGTTTTCCCAAGCCATGGTTGGCAGCCATTAAATAACGCTGTCAGGAGCCGCCTGAAGACCCGGGCCATTATACAATAGAAATTCCTTGGCCATTATTTATTTTGTATTTTGCGGCATTGTCAGTGTTGGCGGATTTGCCAAATGCTACTTAAGCCTTTGTCTAATTATATATATTAACTTGAGAATTTTATAAGAATTCTAGTCTGGTTCCCAGAAAACTCAATTGAAAAGGGAATCAATATAAAAAGATTCCATTTGGAGAGTAATAATTTCTCTCTTTTAAGACTAGGTTTTAGGAAAAGATCTCCTTCTCTCTCTCTTCTCTCACTACTTGCTCTCTCTCTCTCTCATACTCTCTTACATGCCAGGCAGCAACAGCAGCTTATCAGTTTCATTCCGTAGCGAACGAGAGAGTTTAATTTAAACTCTCTTTCTCTCTCTATTTTCAGCTCTGAGAGAGCCCGTTCTTAGTCCCTAAAGCAAAACCGAAAGAACCGAAGAAATTCTTAGTAAAACCACAATTCTATGAACAACCTTTTTGGTTAGTTTAATTTTGAAAACATCTCCTCGCAGAACTTATTGCAGTGGCTTTTACTCTCTCATGTAAAATTCACTTAATTGAAGGCCCCAAGAAGGGCGTAATTTGACGGGAAATGTGCTAAAGTGACAGCAGCAGCAGCAGCAGCAGCAAGGTTTTCTCTCCCGTGTGTTAACCGGTGTTGTTGGCTTTATTGTTATTGGCCAAGCTGCGTTGGCGGGCCATGTTTTAGCCCTGAGTGCCAAATGACATCTGGGTCACCTGGGCTCCCAGTTACCAGCTACCATCTACCAGCTCCTGGCTCAACTTATTCCATGCACCCGGCGGCGCAGAGCCGAACAGAGTCCTGGATGTGTCCTCTGGCCATCGACGAGGACATTCACACTAAGGCCCAGTACAGTGCGGTTCAGGGCCTTAAAAACGATTGATGGCTTAATACTTTGTGGAGGGGCGTTTGGACGACATTTTGGATTACCGTGATTTGTGTGTTGTTGTGCTAACCAATCGAATTTGATTGGTCATTGTGAGCAGGAAAAGTAAATTATCGTTTTAGGTATAGGCGAGACAGTTAGTGATTAATATATAGTACTTACTAGCCACCTTTGCGTAGATTTTAATTATTATTAATTTTCTTTGCTTCCACCCTCCCTTAGCAAGCCAAGCCAATAATTCTTATTATATGGCAGGTTAATATTCATAAATTAACTAAAAACCCAAAGTCTTGAAATCCGAAATCGAATTAACACATATTTACGAGATGATAATCGGCAGGCAATCGAAATGAATTACACTGCTGGGGCCGCACTGTACGTGCCTGGGCGATAAAGCAATCATTTTAATGGGGTGATTAAAATTTCATCAGCTGAACTCAACGGGGCGAAATCCGAAATCTGAAATCCGAAATCGAAAAATCGAATTGAATTGAATTAAAGCGAGAGCCGCAGAGATGTTTATCAATTATTCCCCCGATTCGGATCTATGTGGGAATCTTCTTTTCTTTTGGTTACTCAATTTTCTGCTCGCCCTACTCTATATATATATGTATATATATTTTTTTGTTGTGTTTTGTTTGGCTGAAAAGCCCGAGTGACTGACAAATCAATCAATGGTTATTTATAGAAAATCCCATCAAGGGTGGCGCTCATAAACAATTGAATTCATTTGCGGCCCCAAATGCGATTGCATTTGCCATCCCCAAGAATTTTAACCCAATTTGGAACACGTACGCTTACAAAAAAAAAAAATTTTAATAGAAATATTTGAATTGATATTGGAAATCACTCGTAATCTCGCTGAGAGAATAAAATAAGTCTGGTTTTCAAACAAGTCCCTCATTAAACCTACCCAATAAAACATCAACAATTTTTTTAAGTGTATTTTTGTAAGCCAAATAATAAATATAAAATGAAAACCCACAGATAGGATCGCGCTTGGAGCCTTGTCTTCCCACCAAAACCAGCTTCAGTTGGGGTTGCACTATTAGTAGTTAAATATTAGGATTTCCATTATTGAAATATATTTTTAATATTAAATTTTAAACTTTGATACTCACCATGGATTTCCAATCCTGGTTATCGTTTCGAAGGATCCTTGTTGGGGGACTTTTCGCTTGATTTTCATGTCGCGCATCATAATTTTGATACTCGTCTTTCTGTGTTTAGGTGTTGGCTTTCCTTTTTTTGCTTTTTTTTTTCTAGGTTCCGTTTTTACTATTTTTTTCTTCGGTTTTTCCTTTTTGCTATTTTTTTTTTTGGTTTCGTCCCTAATTCCTGATCTTCAACTGACTTCTATCCATGATGACTACCCTCGTACCTCCGTTATCGTTATTTTCAAAAGCATGCTCTTGACATTATACATTATGTGTCCCCAAAGGCCCCTTTCATTCGTTTTAAGGATCTCCTGTTTGTTCGGCATTTGTGGTTTTTGGTATGATTGGTGTCTGGTTATTGTTGTTGTAGTTCCTTTACAGCTTCTCCTAATTACTTATATTATATATTTACATATCTAGGTGGGGCGTTTCCCATTTGCATCCATTGTTAGCGTGTGTGTGTCTTGTATTAAGCTTCTGTGCTGCGTTTGTGCGGTTCCTTTTACACCTGTTTATTAATTTTTTTAAGTAATTTTCTTTTTTCTGTTTAGTATATTCACTTGTCCTTCTCCTGGATTTTATGCTTGTCAATTATGCTTAATAATGATTAATATATTGGAACTTAATCTAGATTATAAACTTTACGCTTAAGACTAAGAACGAAAAAAAAAATACAAAATATATAATCTTGTTGACCAAAAATTTTAAAAAGTAGATAATTTGTTTTTTTTTTTTTTAATTTTTTTTTGTGATGTTGCCGGTACGGGGTTTTGATAGAAACTGAGCTCCGTTGGGAGCTCGTCTAGCTAGGTCACATGACAGGCAGGGCAAATCAAGGTCTAGGCTGACTAGATCGTGAAATTGAAAAAGTTGAAGTTCAACTAAAATCTTCTAACCATAAAATCGAATGATGTTATATATTTTTGAAATATAATATTTATTGTTTAAATATAAAATAAACATATAAATATATTTTCGAGTATGTTTTATAGCTATAAAAGGTAGAAAACATACGAAAAATCGGATTAATATCATATTTTTTAAATATACAAATAAATCGATTAATTTGTTCATTTTTTATATAAATAAACTCTTATAATTAAAATTGAATTAAATTCATAAATAAATGCATAGTTATAAAAAATATGATTTTTTTCTCTGTAATCCTCACATTCTCATTCGTATCTGTGTATCTAAGTATCTACGTATCTGTATCTATGTATCTATGGCGTTTCGCCTGGCATCCGGGACTGTGTGGACCGTGGGGCCCCCCAACTATTATTAGCGGCACGCTCGACATGCAAACGTATAATGGATTTATATATGTCTTCCGTACTGTATGTACATACCTGTAATATATATATACATAATATATATGGTATATGCCAGGGCAAAACCCATTGCTCTGCAGGTGTTCAAATTTTCACATTTTACCAGGTGCCTCAATTGTCCTTTTTTTTTTTGTCCAAAATGAAACTAGAAAAGTTCACTGGAAAATAAAGAAAAGGTATACAAATATTAAAATATTAAAAAAAGTAAGACTATATTAGAGAAAACTCTACCAAGTGTGACCATTTTTGCCTTTTAGTTATTTAATTTTTCTATTTCATGCAATATATTTTTTTTATTTTCATATTTAAAATAAAGTACAATTTCTTTAACTGCTTTTTCTTTCTCTCGTTTGCCTTACGAATTTTTGCATAACCAAGCCTGCATAATTAACAATTCTCGTTCATATTTATAGCTGAAATATTGATTTTAATTTTTTACATTTTTGAAAGTTGTTTCAAATTGTTCTTTCCCCTTGGTTTTTTTTTGGGGGGTGGGGGGTTAATTTCCCCCTTCACACATAGGTGACTTGCGGTCAACCACAGCTTTTTCCCACCTTGCCACATGTGGTTGCTGGTGGCTTTAAAGCTTTTGTGGCTTATCAGTTCTTTGTCAATGTCCAACTCCTTGAAAATATAGTTTGGCCCCGGAAAGCTTGGCCGCAGCTTTCGAACCCCCTTTCCATCCCTTCTGAGCCTCGATTGGCCTTCGATTTGTTCTGCATTTTATGAAGGCTTAACTTTTTTTTGTTGTTGTTATCTTTTCCTTGGGCTTTAGATCACAATTAGTTTTGTTTTTAAAGGATATTTTGAAGAGCATACCTAATTGCATCACTCATACGCATTGTTGAGCACATCACTCATACGCACTGTTGCCTATTGTCGAAACACAAAAACAACATCTTTATTATTTAATGAATATTTATATTAATAATTTACAGAGTTTTCCAGAATCAAGGTTAAGTCGGCTTAGATATTTGTAAAAATCAAAGGCTAAACTTTTACCAAAAGCAACAAAAAGAACTTTTCCACGATTGTTTCTTTTTTTTATTCCAAATTCATTAATAAGATTAATTAATTAATTCATTATTAATGTTTTTATATATATTTTAAATATTTAAAATCATAGGTATAGGTATTTAAATTTAATATTTTAAATAATAATAATAATTAAAATTAATAATAAAATAATAAATAAAAAAACTAATAAATAATAAAAAAAAGAATAATAAATTAAATTAAGAAAATGTTGTATACTTTTGGGGTTTGCCCCGTATCGACCCTTATAATTCCCAACTGGTTCAAGCTGAAAAGTAAGGTAATGACCAAATAAATTGGTGAAAGTTAGTCAGTGGTCTACTGAGTTGTGTAGTGCCTAGTGCCTGGCAGTGAAAAATGTTCTTTTTGTGTTTTTGGCTAAAGGCGAATCCTACTTGACCTCGTATTTTGAATAATAAAATTTAAAATGGTGAGAATTCAAATTTAAATAAGGAAATTCCTAGCAAGTCTTAATGACCATGCCTACCTTCACATGATTAATGTTGGCTTTTTCAATTCCCATTTTTGCAGATGTCAATTCAAAAGCTGAACGACACCGCCAACTCTGGCTACGTAAGCTCCGAGGAGACGGACTCGCTGCTGGTAAGTCAAAATCCAAATCCGTCACGCGTCGGCGGCGGACGAACGGCGCTGCTCCGGCAGGTGAAAAGCAGCTCTACCAATGGACCAACCGGCGCCACCTCCACCTCCTCGACGGGCTCTGGCACGGGCTCCGCCACCGGATCCGTCACAGGCTCTGGTGCGGGCTCTGTGGCGGGTTCGGGCACGGGAACGGGCTCGGGAGCTGGTAGCACACAGCCTAGCAAGCCGACGCTGATGCGCCAGGATCGGACTTCCACATATCTGACCAGTCCGCAGCAGTCGCAGCAAGCGAGAATGGGCTCCGAGGAGAGTATGCGCGGTGGCGGCTGCGGCGGCGGTGGTGGCATAACGAATCCCCACGACGAGGATGTGGAGCAGGGACTGCTCCGGACGAGCCTAGTGCCTGACATCGAAGTTCACGAAGAGGACCAAGACCAGACCAACGACCAACAACAACAGCAACCACAGACCATATCAATTATGAATTTAAGCCTGAAGCCCGGCGATAGCCATAGTCACAGCCATAGTCATAGCCATAGTCCCAGTCCTGGACCCGGACCAGGTCCCGGTCCTGGTAGCCATCCCAATTTGGGCACATCATCATATCAGAATCTGGCCTCGAGCATACCGCCCAGCGCACCGAGCCGGTGCCGGGCATGCCGCAACTGCAGCCGTCGTGCTTCCACCACGCCCATGTCCAGCTCCATTGCGGATCGCGGGCAGATCGATAGGAGCGCCTCGCGGGACAGCGTCAAGAGCGCCTTCCAGGGCCAGGGCAATCTCAGTGGTTCCATGCTGCTCCAGCTGCAACAACAGCAACAGCAGCAGCAGCATCAACACTACCAACACCAGCTCCAAGTAGTCCATCAGCAACAGCAGGTGCCACCTCCAGTTCTTATCACATCGTCGCCCACGAACGGATCCCGGATAATCCGGCAGAGTTCACAGCCGGAATCGAGCACCACGGCCATTGTCTGCTGTGGCCCCCACTCCGCCTGCGTCGGACACTCGCACTCCCACTCGCACACGGTGCCCAATGTGTCGCTGAAGCAGCTCCGGGAGAGCTCCGGCGATGGCATCGCTGGAATTGCAGCGGACTCGTTGAGGATCAACGGCGGCATGCGGCCCTTCAAGCAGGTGAGTAGCCAAAGAAATCTAGTGTTCAATGTCCCACAGTGTCCCACAGAGTGTTTCCTTAATTCTCAGATGCTCAGAGACATTACATTCGCTATTTATCAAGTTTAAACATTAACTAAATTAATTATAATATCCAACAAATTCGAGCGAAGCACCTAATTGCGTCTCTAGTACTACCTAGGGATGTATTTATACGATTTTCGACATTTAACGTTACGATATATGAGCTATAAATCAATATTTTATTTGAAATATTAAGTCGGACAAGAGAAAAATAATTAACATTTTTTTTTTTTATATTTCAACGTTAAATGCTGTATTTTTCGATATCTAAATCAAATTTTATGATATTTTCAATGTGATTTTGAAATCGATATACATCCCTAAGAAGTTCTTTGTACATTAAATCCATAAATCATTAATGTCCCTTGTGTAACCCCATCTACATATAATATATATATACATAAGTATTTACCCGTATCGTGTAAAGTCGTTGTTTTGTAGCCACTGAATAGCGCACTATATATAAATATATATCTATATAATATATGGATGTTGTGTTCATACGAGCAATTCCCATATCCTTTGCATATCTCAAAAGGCAGGCAGGGCCAATCTATGTAATTTTTTTTCTTGTATATTTTATTAAGTAAGTTTTATGAAATAAAATTAATTTAATCAAAGATAAGAACTCTTTCGAAGACTTAAAAACAGCTTATTATTTGAAATTCTTCATTTGATGTGACCAGGTTTAATTAAAGTTTAAAAAGTGTGGCCTTGTTTACTTATAAAGCAACTAAGGCAATAAGTTATCAAAGCAAGAAAGCATTTAGGAAATGGGCAAAACTATATAACTTTTTAAGCATCAAAACTTAATACATTTTTTTTGTTTTTTTATCAACCTTACAAACAAATAAAATTAAAAAAAAAGTTAAAAACGTGTAACTCTGTGACATTATAAAGTCACTGAAGCCCAGATATAACTAAAGTTTATATTTACTTAAAAATCTTACAAGTTGCTTACAATTTTTCATTATAATGTGGCCAGCTTGAGCGAAACGTAAAAGAGTGTGCCCATGCTTATTTATAAAGCATTTAAAGCCCAGATATTGCCTAAAAAAATGGTAAAAAACTGCTTATAGATCATAAAATTATAACTAGAGTAGCTCTTTAACTACCAAAAAGTCAATCCCTATTTGTATGACCCATAAAGATCTCATTCATCACACACAGCGAGAGATAGATGCCTGGCAGAGATGCTAAATCGTTTGCCCATAACTCATCGCCATAAACACCAAGATGTTTTTTATGTCCAGTCTCGGATTTCAGTTTATTTATTTCCAAGATGTTTTCTAATAATCATAAAAACACACGCTGGACTGAAGCTATTTGCAATGATTTGCTTGTAGTTTTTCCTATTTCGTTTTGTGTTTTTTTTTTTGTTTTTTGTTGAATTTATTTCTTGTTCTGACTATTTGCGTTTTTTGCGCGCTAAAATCCAATTAGGGAAAATCAATATTGCTCATACGCCGCGTTGGCTCAACAATTATTTCGTTTGCTTTTATTACTATTTAATTTTTTCTGGTTTTTCTTAAGCATAATTTAATATTTTGTTTACACGAAATTTAATGTAGGAGTGGGAAAATTTCTGGAGATTCTTCAGGCTCCGATATATATATTTTTTTCCCATAATTAAGGCTCTGTTTGATTATTCATGTGCCAATTGAATTGTTAAATCGTCCCCCGCCAGAAAATACAGAAATACCAAAGGGCACTAGACAAGGCCATATCTTTCATCTCTCGTACCCAATGCCGGGGGGAATATAATTATAATTAATATCAATTTACGCCCAAAATGTCTGAACTTTTGCCGCTTCTGCTGTAGCTGTCTTCCATAAATATCCCTAAAAAAAATTGAAGAAAAACCGTGGAAAACCCAGGAAAAAAATATATATATATTATATATAGACGAAAATAATATTGCTTTCTTCATGCTGGAAGAGTGACCTTACCATGATTGATGAATGTTTTCACTCTTTGACATTTGCCGTCGCGTTTTTCCTATTTTCCCTTTCCCCAATTTCCAGCATTTTCCCCCATTTTCCTTAGTTCTTTATAGATAATTGCGTTGGGTCTGTCTGTCTGTCTTTCGGCAAATAGTCTGGGGAGAAACGCCAAGCGGTAAAACATTTATGGAAGCTTTGCAAGAGCTTTTCATACAAAAAAAAAAAAAAACAGAGAAAATAGAGAAGATAGCTGGGGGAAAAATCAAATGGGAAATCGGCGCGCTTAAGAGCTTTCAAGCCACATTTAACACGAATGAAGAAAATAAAAAAGAAACACACGCATTTTAATATGCAATTCCCTTGGTGTCACCCCTTCGCTCAAAGCTTCAGTTATATATCTACTAGAGCTTTTCTGGTTGTAAAGGCGAAAGCTCGCGTAACGTATTTTCAAGTTTTCAATTGTCTCCGGTTTTCCGCTTTTCCGTTTTCCGCTTCGCATTTCCCCTTGTCATATGTTGTTTTTATTGTTTCAAAGCTCTGACATTTAATTATGCAACATTGCAATGAACTTTTCATCTACATTTATCACTCGTTATTTTAATTATTAAATATTTGTTGGAACCCTATCATTCTTCGTCTTTATCGTACATATATCGTATATATACTCCTTAGAAATATCGTATATATATATATCGCATATCGTATATACTAAGTTTGTCTCTGAATACCAATCTATGTAGTTTCAATTGTATTTCTATATATCCTATATATCCTTTTGAACCAGTTTGCTATCTGTACTTATATAGCTGAGCAGGGCGTTGTGTCAGGGTGTAAGGGGTCTTGGATTGATTTATAATATCATTTTAATTATTTTTTAATCAATTAATTATTTAATAATAGAAAACTTGCAATGGAAATATTATTTTCGAATTTTTAATAAGCCAAAGTCTTACCTAAAATAATGTTAAAAAATCTTTCTAAAAATGTATCCTAAAATCTAAAATTAAATCTTCTTAAATTTCTGTTAAAATACTTCTCAAAACCCAAAATATTTTAAGTTTATTTTAATAAATCAAAAATCTCACCTTAAATAATTCTAAAAATCCTTATAAATATTTTTCTTAAAATATATAATTAAATCTTCTTAAAATTCTTTTTAAATACTTCTCAATATCTCTCTTAAATCCCTAAAATCATCGAAATCTCTCTAAAATCTCTTTTCAATTTCAAAATCGATATCACCCCAACACTCTGGCAACAACGCACTGTCTTTATCTGTAGGATATCTATGTACGAGTATATATATTTCATATTCCTATGTATCCTTCGCTGTTATATACATATATCCCACCAGATCCTATGTCTACTATGTGTTTTCCTTCCAAAAATGAAAAAGAAACAGGAACTTAGCCTAGCAACTAAACTAACTAAGACCTAAACTTAAACTTAAACTCTGTCTAACTGTTCAACTGTACTAACTGCTATCGCATCCACTCTCGCAATCTGATCTCTTCAGGGCGTTCTTCTAATGCCTCGCACCTTGTCCGAAAGCCGAAAGTTGCGCCTTCGAAGGGCCTTCACCGAGGCCACTAACGAAACGCTTCAATGCTCCAAAATGGTATTTAATTTGCAAAAATCGTTATAAATAATTACCCCCCCCCCCAAAAAAAAATAACAAAACAAAAAGTCCCATTTTGCCAACGATAACAATATTTTGTTTAATGTGTACATAAATATTTAAAATGAGTTAAAAAAAATATATTAAACCAGCTCGTAGTTCCAAAATTCCAAAATAAAAACTAAAAACAGTTAAATTTCAATGGCACCGCATTTAAGCTTTACGTGAGCGAAAGAAAACAATAAAACAAAGAGCATGAAATGTGTTAAAAAATGACAAAATAACCAAAGAAATTTGTAACAAAATTAAAAAAAATTTAAATTCACTTTTATTTTTTTTCTAAATTTTTTTTTTTTAATTCTTTAAATAAATAATAATCAAAATGACTAAAATACTGGATATTCGCTCATTTATGGCTTAAGCTATGACCTTTCCGCCTCCCAGCGGTCAAGTAGTTTGTTCTGTTATGGATAACAACCAAAAACAAACGCAACATTGCAAATGCTAATGCTAATGCTCCCCAATGTGCAATCGGTTCAGTTCTTCCTAGCCTGCACTGCCTCTAACTCAATCTTCCCTAGAAATCTCACAAAAACGGTTTTGAAAAACTGAAATCTCCACTTTCCACTCTCCATTTACCACACTTCCACTCTCCACATCCACTTCCGCTTTGCATCCGTTTTGAATGTGTGTAGCTGCCTAGTTCCATTCGTTTATTTATAAATATTAAGCGATAATGATGATCTATCGCCGCAGGTAAGATGTAGTTGAAAAAATATACAAACATATTTCCATATGCCAAGCACCGTATTGTATTTTCCACAAGCACCGTTATGGAAATATGATTAGTAATACTTAATATAAAAATATAAATATGAATACTGATATGAATTACAATTATATTTTCGAGTGTAATCAATGGGAGAGGTTCGAATTTATTTAAACAGAAACGTATATAATTACAATAACCACAAGAAAATATTTAGTCAAAGGTTTCTAGCTATATAAATGTGCTGGAAAAATAAAAGATATATTTTTGAAGAAATATGGAAAAGAATTTAATATATTATAAAAATATGCAATACATTTAGTATTTCTTACAATATTACGTAATATTTTAAAATGAATTTTCCTAAATTTTAAATCAAAAGTATTATTTGGGTGGGAAATTCTTTAGTCATTTTTCCAGGGTATTCCAATCTCCTTCTCTCTGTTTTTTCTTTCTTTCTTGGGAATCATCTATTAAGTGGCAAGCAGGAAGCATTTAACATTTGCACATTTTCCTCGATTGAGCAGATACAAAATGTTCATTTCCATGACGTAGAGGCATGATCAGGTGTTTGATTCTCACAACCACACCACTGAATGCTTCCCAT